TTTTTATGTGTTTCCAAGGTTTCTGTAGTAAATGGGTGTGTGTGTGATTTTTTTGGGTGATATTTATTAGATTTTTAATTCAAGGATTCCGACAGTTTACAATTAAACAAGTTAAACTCCCCCCCAGAATAGAAGGCCACCCCCATTAGAAGGCCACCCCTGAGTCATATTTGCAAAAGTCACATTAGAAGGCCATGGCTTTCTAATGAATTGTTTGGATATTACATAAATATTCTGTGCTAGTTTTATAAATATCTTAGCATTTTTGAGAGATCATGTATGATCTCCACCGCACTCCTGTTTGGTTTTGCTATAAATTTAAAGAGGTATGTTCAATTTCCAAAAGCTGTCAAAACAAAACAAAGTTTAATATGCCTATTTGATCGCTTCAATTCTTTTGCTTTGGTACGATTACATATCTTTTGAATACATATAAAAACTTTTTTGTTCTTTGAAGTATTTGTGGTGCCAGACATCGGATAGGTATACTAATATTTGTTGATTAAATATAATACCCATGTAGCCGATAATGGATGAATAATGGAAAATGATCCATTATTTTCCATTATTTGAAGAAAAACATGAATTAATGCATTATAATTAATTATTTTTTGACTTTTCAATGCATTTCAATGCATTATTTCTAATAATGCTGAAAGTGAAGGATAATGCCTAAATTTTCAATGCATTGTAATGCATTATTATAAAAAAAATGCATTATGATGCGTTGATAAATCAATGTATTGCAATGGATTAATTAAAAATAATGCATTATAATGCATGAAATAGGTTGCATTATCATGTAATTGCATCCATTGCATTTCTATTGTAAAATAATGCATTGCAATGCCCATTATTTCATAAAATCGGCTACATGGGTAGCATTAGCTCAAAAAGTCTAAACAAATTTCAATTTTCAGTTGTCGAGCTAGAAAAACAGAATCAGCAACTAACAAAAAAAAATTGTAATTTTTTACCATAAAAGTCCTATTAGAAGGCCACCCCTAATAGAAGGCCACCCTGAAAAGAGCGATGTGAATTTCCATAATAGAAGGCCATGGCCTTTTATTCTGGGGGGG